CTATGATGTTCTGATAACATACAGGTTGTGAAAGTCTTTCCTAAACACTAAATAAATGCTTATTTTGTTGTTAGCTGTTCTGTCCAGTGTTGGAGCAGATGGGTACCAGGATTTAGGGTTTCTAACAGCCTTCCAGTCCAGTTTCTATTTTTTCTGCCCTGCAACATCTTCTATTTCTACCCTAGGCTATTTAAAGGCACCCTCTGCTCTGCTTGTTTCATACTGGGCATGTGCCAGATATCCCTGATCATTGTTACATTGCCTGTCATTTTTAAATTTTCAACTTTATAGGAAATTCAAAAGACCCAACTGAGCAAACCCACTTATTGTAGGTGAGGAGGAGAGATATACAGGAATAGCTATGTATAGATCAAGGAGACAGTAGCTGTCACTAATCTTGTGTGTTCCCCAGGGAGAAATACTGGCTTCTTAAGCCTTTAGACCGATTAAATCATATTCTTAGCAAACCGCAGTATGATTTATATGCTTGGGTTATAAATGTCCTGAAATGATGATGTGGAAATCTGCTGTTGAGAGAATAAAACAAAATTGATTCCATTTAAAACATTGTTGTTACTCACTGGAATACGAATAAAATCTGTCTGAGTTTTAACTTTTTGTTATTGGATCTTGATGCTTGTTTGTTGTTATTGGCCCTTGATAGTTGTCAGAGACCTGTTAGGACAGATTCTTAAAGTGTGATGTTTCTCTTCAGTTTTAGCATTTAGAAGTCTGTCTTTCTTTGAACGTAGGCTTGCCTCTGTTGTTAAGTGTCCCAAGTACTGTTTTTTCTTAACAGCAATTAATTAGAAGGGAAAACACAAATAATATTATCAGTTTCATAATTAAGAGTGGTTCTTTATATGAATCTAAATGAGATAATTCACTTAGCTTTTTGATTTTTTTTTTTAAAGGAGTATAGTTTTCCTACGTATTGTTGTTGGTAAGTGCTGTCGAGTGGGTTCTGACTCATAGCAACGTTGTATAGGATTTTCAAGGAGTGGCTGGTGAGTTTGCATCCCCTACTTCTCAACCTTGCAGTTCAAACCAACTTTTCAATCCAGTGCTTATCCTACAGTGCAACACCAGGCCCCCTATGTATTGTTGTTGTTAAGTGCCATGGAGTTGGTTTCTACTCACAGTGACTGTGTATAGGGTTTCAGAGGAGTGGCTTGAGGTCCAGTGCTTTATCCTATAGCAGTAACCATTTGTGGAGTGATGTTGGTTGGCAGCTTGTTATCTGACTGTCAGCTAAGAGGTGTGAAGTAAACCGCCTGTACAGGATTGCTGGCGTCCTGGTGTGGTGCTGTGGGTTAATGCGCTGAACTGCAAAGTCAGTTTAAACTGCAAGGTTGGCGGTTCAAGTTTGCCAGTCACTCCTTGGAAACCCTATACAGAGTCACTATGGGTCAGAATTGGCTCAACAGCACTTAACAACAAGAGCATTCAGGGTTGCTATGCGTTGGGCTATGTGTTGGAACTGACCCCAGTGCATTTAACAACAGCTTATCATTGTCACTAAACATAAGAATCTGACTGGGTTTAAACCCTTAGGAGTCCTGGTGTGGCTCTGTAGGCTAAGCACTGGACTGCTAACTGCAAGGTCAGAGGTTCAGACCTCTCCCTCACTCGTTGGGAGCCCTGTACAGGGTCACTGTGAGCCAGACCTGACTTGATGGCACTTAGCAACAACAAATCCTAAGTATTGCAAATTTGTGTCTAATAAATGTTCTTTCATGCATACTACTAAATTTATAATTTTCTGAAGGATTTCTTTTTTAAAAGTTTTCTATTCTGAACTTATTAAACTTTCTTGGTATAATGCTATCTATAACTTGGCTACTGCCAGTGCTTATAAAATAATCCCCTGCTTATAACTGTTCATTCAAGGAAGTATGCAGAAGAACAATTATTTAAAGTTCTCACCCAGGGATGTGATCCCATTGAATAAACTCTTATAAATCGTAAATTTGCACAATCTGGGTTTCATGGAAATGATTTCATTGACTTTGGGGAGAGAAGTGGGCAATTTCCATTCAGACCTGGAATGCTGCTTGGGTGATAAAGACAGCCATACTATGAACTGCTCTGCGGGGAAGGAGAGTTTCCACTTTGTGAGTTTGCTTTACATTTATATAACTGCATTGTTGTATTGTTGATGTATGCCCTTGAGTTAATGTCATCTCATGGTGAGAACTGCCCAGGGTTTATTTGTTGTTGTTTTTTAAGCTAAAATCTTCACAAGAGAGAACTTTGGTAGCACTATGGGTTAGGTATAGAGTTGGTAACTACAAGGTAAGCAGTTCAAAACCACTAGCCAGAGAAAGATGAGGCTGTAAGCTTCCATAGAGATGTACAGTCTTAAAAACCCTCAATAGGTTAACTAGATAAATTGGAATTGACTCGAGAGCAGTGTGCTTGGGTTTTGTTTTTAATTTTTCACACAAGATCACCAGGTGTTTTCTCTGGGGAGCTGCTGGTAAGGCCAAGCTGAGGTTTCAGTACTTGAACCTTTCATTGCACCTGAAGTATTATAGATGAAATCTGACAGTGTCGTGTTGAGTGGGGCATGTACTAGATAGATCTGCTTATCGATATAGCCTGGATGTAAGCATCACATCTTCAGAGAGTTTCCCTGATCTTGGATCTCACAGTGGTGTTGGTTATCATGCCTTGCAGATGGTTGTTGTTAAGAGCCCTGGAGTCAGTTCTGACTCATAGTGACCCTGTATGGGGTTTCCAAGGAGTGACTGATGAGTTTGAGCCATGTACCTACCCTGTGGTTCAAATCGATCTTGCGGTCCAGTGCTTTATCCCACATCACCACATCAAGACTCCAGTGCTACTTTACTTTTGTGTCCATTGAACTGGAGGGTTAGCCCGGGTCGTGTCGTTAGCTATGTTCCTCCCGCTGCTAGCACAGTGCGTGGTGCACACTTGGCACACTCAAGTTGGGTAAGTGACTGGAGTCATTTAATTCCTATGAATTCATCTGGAATAAATTTGTTGTGAGTGTACTATTAGCAATCTGTTTCTTGCTTGGTGTGACTTATGTTGTTTAGACATGCCACCCAACATCTGATCATTCATTTCAATGGTTTTTTGAAAATATGCCCATTGTCTCTGCTTATTGAGAAGTTGCACAGAAAGAAAACAATGTCTGTTTTCAGAACTGCCATTGGCAGGGACACTAACTGATGTCTGTCCCTGCCCATGGGTGGAGCAGTGGGGTGACTCTGCTACCAGCTCCTTATTGGTCCATCCTCTACCCTCTGTTCTCCTGGGAAGTCAAGTATGGATTTTGTCTGCTAGTTACCTTTAGCCCAGTGGGCAGCATCATAGGATTCGGCATGTGACTAATGCCCTGAGAGACCTTGGCAGGCTGGCTGAGTTCTGCTCACCCCCACCCACCCCACCCTACCCACTCTGTCTTCTGTTTCTGCAGTAGTGTATCACCTAGCAGTCAGCTGTTGGTGGTACAGATGGTGAGTAGTTTTATAAGTGCTGGTGCTTTCTCTGCAGAATTAAGACCTGAAGAAACTTGCTTATCTGTTCCTTGGTTGTTGTCAAGTTAAAACCTCATAATTTCTCTCTCTCTCTCTCTCTCTCTGTGTGTGTGTACTTACACAAGAGCCATTGTAGCACAAAATTGAATGAACTGAGAAAATACATATTATGTTGGCTCCTACAGTATTGATGACCAGTAAAGCAATGAAATAGTCTGCTATTAGGTGAAAGACTAGAGAGTTAAATTTAAACAGATTTCTGTATTTGAAAATAGAAAACTTTGTCCATCTTTTGACCTAGCTATTTATAAGACCATGTAGTAAGTAGCTCACAAGTACCATTTGAACTTATAGTTACCATGTTCACAATTACTAACTTGTCAAGAGTTTTTTAAAAAAAACTTTTCAGATTATTTACTCTTCATTTCCTTTCCTTTACGGACAAACAGACTTTAGGACACAGATACTCAATCATCTTCTAATTAGATTTTTTATTATTTATTATCTGTACTGCACATTTGTTTTTTATACTGTGTAAATTGTAGCATTTAATGTGGGGTTTTACTGCATATTGAATTGTTCATCTCTTTTTCTTCTGGGTAGTTGGGAGTCTTAATTTGTTGCATATTCTAACAGCTAACATTTGTTGAGCACTTTCTGGTAGTTGGCACCAGTCTGAGGACTTGATGTGACATATAGATACTATTTTCATCCACGTTTGTAGTTGAGGAGACTAAAGCACCCATTACTGAACCAAAATTATATAGCTAATAAACTGAGGAGGCAGGATTTGTCTCTGGAATCTAGGGTTTTAAATATACTTTTTCTTAAACATTGTGCTTACAGTCACTCTTTAATAATTGGTGGTTAATTTAAAATTTTATGTACAACAGTTTCTTCTTTATCTTTTTTAAGATCTAGGGAAATGTAAAAGAAATTGATTTTATCAGAAGAGCCAACTGTGGGTTTCTTAACATTTGTATTATTGCCTTTGCATGGGAGAGGTGAGAAACATTGAAATTTAAATTGTTCTAGTTTACCAGCTGGGAAACTTGTTGGAGAAAACAAAAATGAAGACTTTTACATGGTTTAGGTTTGTTTATGCCTCCTCACTCTTACTGTCTTTAGCCATGATAATGAAACTTGATGTACTTGATTAGGGGGAAGGAACCAGATAAATTATCAGGAAATGAAATGGAAACTTAGCCCACTGATTTCAACATTTTATGGCAAGAATTCTTTGTGTGTAAAGCCTTTTTTGATGTGGTCAATGAAAATTTTACATAGGACAGTTGAGAAATAGAACTAAAATGAATTTCTAACATGCTTTTAGAAAAATGAAATTGGACAGCAAACAATAGATCTTAACCATTAGACTGTAGGTTTTAAAGGCTTGCTTGTACAGCCAGCCATAGAATTAAATGGTTGACCTTTGGAATTCTGCAGAAGAGTCTTGCTTCCCTGGAATGAATATGACATTTTTCTCTCCAACAGAATTCAGCATAGTGAACCACCAACACAGGACAATGCAAGCCCACGAGTTGTTCGGGTATTTTCGAATGCCAGAGCTGGTTGACTTCCGACAGTACGTTCGTACTCTTCCAACCAACACGCTCATGGGCTTCGGAGCTTTTGCAGCGCTCACTACGTTCTGGTATGCTACAAGACCCAAAGCCCTAAAACCACCATGTGACCTTTCCATGCAGTCTGTGGAAGTGGCGGTAAGTGGAGGGGCTGACCTGCTGAGAACATTTTCTCTGCATTTCTCTAGACTCCATAAGCCTCTTTGAATATGCTATTGATTATATTGTTGTTAAGTGCCGTCGAGTCGGTTCCGACCCATAGCGACCCTGTACAGGGTTTCCGAGGGTGTAAATCTTTACGGGAGTAGAAAGCCTCATCTTTCTCCCGCAGAGCAGCTGGCAGTTTCGAACTACTGACCTTAAGGTTCGCAGCCCGATTCGTAACCACTACGCTACCAGAGCTCCTTATTGATTATATATGGCTGTATAAAATTAGGATTTATGGTGTGGTGCTGTAGGATCAGCACTGGACAGCGAACCACAAGGTGGGCAGTTCCAACCCACCAGCTGCTCCTCGGAAACTCTATACAGGGTCGCTCTGAGTCAGAATGGACTGGGTGGCACTTAACAGCAACAACAAATATAAGATTACAATCACAATAAATTGTTTGTGCAGGTACTTTGTAAACAGAAGTGTGTTCAACAGAATTATTGATGATAAGAAGTGGAGGTGGAGGTCAAAATATAAATTGAGGGACAGATGAGGTTATGTTGGTGCCTGTTTATTGAGTTTCTATCTGTGCTAATCACTTTTTTTCTGAGGGAAAAGACAGACATAACATTCTTTCTTTTACAGGATTTTAATCCATCATGGAAGAGCATTGCTAAATATTCCAAACAGAAGGATTCCAAATCTAGTACTTAGAACATATTCCCAAACTGTTGAAAGGGACTCAGATTTTCCTAGAAGGATAAAGTAAAACCAGGAACTTGCCAGAATAATGTGCCCATAGAATTTAGGGTTGTTGTTGTTGTTGTTGTTAAGTGCCGTCGAGTCGGTTCCAACCCATAGCGACCCTGTACAGGGTTTCCGAGGCTGTAAATCTTTACGGGAGCAGAAAGCCTCGTCTTTCTCCCACAGAGCAGCTGGTAGTTTCGAACTGTTGACCTTGTGGTTTGCAGCCTGATTCGTAACCACTGTGCTACCAGAGCTCCTTAGGGTAGGAGATGATTAAACAGGGACATTTCAGAGGCTTCTAATATTGAGTTGGTGTTGGGCAAACTAAAGGTTTTACTCACATGTTAGAGTTCCTAAGAGCTATAGAGTTGGAGCCAACTCATAGTGACCCTGTATAGGGTTTTCGAGGAGCAGATGGTGGGTTTGAACCACTTAGCAGTCCAGTGCTTATCCTACAGCGCCTCTCCAAGATTAAACAAGAATATATGTTTCAGAATTGTTTATGTACATGTTTCATGGGTGAAATGACCTAAACAAAATCCAAGCATTGCTGTCAAGCCCTGACTCCCAGAATCCCTGTGGGACGACAAAGTAGAACTGCCTCACAGCATCCCCAAAGCTGTAAATCTTTAAAGAAACAAACTACTACATCTTTGTGGGGATGGATAGGAGAGAGTGTACTTACTAGGAGGTGTTCTGCTATTGCTGTTCTTAGTAGTGTGTGCACATCAGCATTTATGTACCTTTAGGTAACTTTAGCACCTTTTCTAAAACTTCAGGGCTTTCTGAAAAAAAAAAAAAACATGAAAAAAAAATCATAAAATGTATTTTCTTACTAAGCTCACATTTTGGGAAAGTTAATTGAGTTTCTCTTTAATGTGTTTCATGCTAGCTCTGTCTGCTAACCTAGAAACACTTCTTGAAAGTGACTTGTGATTGGAATTAGGCATGAAAGTGTCCTGGCTGGTAATGAAGCAGGAGCACTGCAGGGTGAGGGGGGAAGACCTACAGCAGCAGACTTTCTGATCTTTGTACCAAGACCATTCCATGTATGTAGGAGTCCTGGTGTGGTGCGGTAGGATAAACACTGACCTACTAACCAAAAAATCAGCAATTCAAACCCACCAGCCATTCCTCAGAAAACCCTATAGAGGGTCACCATGAGTCAGAACTAACTTGCTTGCACTTAACACCAACAACAACTGCCTTTAGGAGTTCAAAGAAGAAAATACAAAAACTTCTGAAACGTTGATTGCTGAGGAAAAATTATATTGGGGTCCTCTTTAAAAAAGCAAAAGCTCTACAGTTCACAGTGTAAGAATCTAATAAAGTAGGTCTGAAAGTAGGGTGAGCTGATATGAAAAACAATGTGTTTTTGTACAAATGACACTGCTTCTCACAGACTTCATTAAGCAAGGAACATGTGTATGCATAAATGGTGAGAACATGTGCTGTGTTTTAATATTTACTTAAGTTTTAAAATAGCCTCCCCCAAGCAGTCAACTTGTGCCAAAAGAAAAAGACAAATGTAGGCTTTCCATGCCTCTGGACAAAATACCTGCTTCATACCAATGTCCAGAAGGCCAACAAAGGGTAAGAAATAGAGATGTGGTTCCCTTTAGGAGAGTTTGGAGGTGAAGCAGAATGGTTGTTTTGCTAGAACAATGAGTGTTTATGAAGCTTTGGCTATTGTGATTCTAAAGTTTCTTCCCTGTCACTGAGGTGTGAGGGTAGTGTTTTCCCTCTTATGGCTGGCTGATTTTTTTCTCTAGTGAGAAGATTGGTATGTGTTTGGCAGCATAACATTTAATTTTGCAAAGTATACTACCAACCAGCACGTATCCCCTTAAGCAAATCCTCTGATTGAAATAGGAACTCAGAAATTGAGAGCTGGAAAATTAATAAGGAATGGGGTAGGGGAGGAAAATGTTCTAAGGATTAGAGGAAAAGGTTGAAGAATCAGAAACCCAGCCTTACTCTGGAGATTTGGAATCTGCTTGTATACCAGCAGCAAATCTTCACAGACCCTGTGTCCCACTGTGCAGGCTGTGGCACCCTGCTCCACCACATAGATGTGAGAGTGAGAGGTGAAAGCCTCCTTAGTGAATTTTCTCATCTGGAAAACACTTGGGCTTTAGCAAGTGCTCAATAAATATTCACATACCTTCTCTTTCCTGAAATCAGATTGAAAAACCTTAGCACTGATCCTTACTAAGATTTTTTTCCCCCTTTCTTTGCCTACTTGAGACTAGTTGAAGGGCAAGATTCGGAGAATTTAGGCAATTAAACAGTGAGTGCAGGTCAAAACCTGAGCATTCATTGTTACACTTTGACCTTGATGGTTCAGCATATTAGGGTGTCTAGGTAATTTTTAGATAGCTGATCCAAGTGCCAGCATTTCCTGCCAGAAGAATGAACAAATCCATTTTTGAAGAATTGCAGCCAGAACACTCTTTAGAAATCAGGGTGGCAAGACTTCATTGCAAGTACTTTGGATATGTTGTCAGGAGGGACCAGTCCCTAGAGAGGAACATCATGCTTGGTAAAGTGGAAAGGCCAGCAAAAAAGAGGAAAACCCCCAGGGAGATTGATTGACACAGTGGCTGCAAGAATGCCTCAAACACAGGAACTATTTTGAGGACCTGACAGTGTTTCGTTCTGTTATACATATAGGATCACATGGGGTCACGATGAGTCAGAAGCAACTCAATGACAGCTAACAACAATCCAAGTGCCTCTGTCATTCAGAAATTATAGAGGAAGGTGGACGCCTATAAGCTGGTCTTTTTTTTTTTTTTTAATGCTTTATTGTGAATTATGTGGTAGTTTACATGGGAGGACATTAGCTTCACATTGATCCCGTCATATATCGTTTCCTTGCCATGGTTACAATCCCCTCGGTGGATCATCCTTCAACCAAAGGGTATACCCCGCAAACCTGCCTCCTGGTCAACCCACACAGCCCCTCTCCCTCTCCAAGTCCAAAGTCCCCAGCCGCTCCATGTCTCTACATCATTGTCTCTGTATAGGCTGGTCTTTTAAGGAGATCTGATGTTGCTGAAGATAGGAAATAATGGCCAGAGATTTCCAAAAAGTTGTGGGATAGTAATGTAGTTTTGTGCCTGCTTGTTAAAAAAAAAGAAGTTGATGATGTTGGTCTGGTCATGGTGGGAAGCATGTAAAATATAAGTGATGGTGGAAGTATATTTCACATGGAGAATATGAGAGGAGAAAAACAAAATCCTGTTCCCTCAGCATGATATTCCCTTAAAACTGTTTGGTTTCACATGCTGCTGTTCTCTCTAGAGATTCATGTAGCAGTAACACCAGCCAACTGTTTAACAGACTCTGCTTGTAAGTTGCTTGCTTCTCCTTCTTTCTTTCTCCCTCCAAGCTCTTTGGTCCTCACCTTTCTCATGCTGTATACCCTTCCCTGCCCACCTTTGTCTCCCACCTTCTACCTTTCTCTCTCCTCCACATAAGAGGAAATAAACAATAGGATGTGGTGCTGTAGGATAATGCACTGGATCACAAGGTCGGTTTGAACCTCACAGTCAGTAATTCTTCACCAGCCATTCCTTGAAAACCCTGTACAGGGTTGATATGAGTCAGAACCAATTTGATGGCACTTTAACAACATCAGCAGCACAATATGTTGGGTATTTCATTGTTAAGGACCGGATGTATGACATAACAATTTAGAAAGCTTGATTCTTTGTATCCCCAAGAAACCGCAAGAATATAATTTGCTTTGCATTTAAATAGAGGAGAGGCCTGAAATATCTCTCAGCATCAATTGTTCTTCTGTGTTCAATGTTGGCAAGAGTTTTAGACTTGGGGAGCCAGTGACAGTCAGATGTTCACTGTTGGCCTTCCCTTATAGCCCCACCTTTCCTCATTCTGCCCTTGAAGGGAAACTTGAACTTTGATTTCGGGAATGGACTCAAGAGGAGCCTTAGTTTCTACAGATATTGCAGAATATGCTCATGACCACTGATTGGACTGTAGTGTGACTCACAGTGTTTTGTTATTTTAAATGAAAGAAACTGTATAACCACATTAAACTGTGCTGCAGAACAAATAAAAGACCATAATCCTTCCTAACTCATAATCTCGGTGACTGCTTTCCTGCACATTGGGCTGTGATTGTCTGCTCAAATGGCTGTTTTTTGACACAGCTGAAATTTCCACCTTCACCATCAACCTGTATTATGTTAGAAGGCCATAAAGAAAACCCTTA